TATCAATGGAAATGTCATGAAGTCATTTCTGACATTGGGTCTGTGATTGGCACCGGAAGGAAATGATTATTAATATAATAAGGAAATATTAATAATAAATGTTCAAGTCCCTTCATTTCTCCAGTACCTCCCTCGGATCTCTTACTTGTCTCAACAAGATAACATTTTCGAACAATAATAATATTATTATTACTATTAACCCTTTGATCTCTGCGTTATTTTAACTCCACCTGCCTGAGCTCCTGAGTCAAAATTCACAAATATTTGCTATGTAATGTTTCAGGGTAGATATAAAAATAGTTACAAGTGTTTACCCACCGTTCAACCTGTCGCTGGGTATTACGTCATATTTTCTCTACCACCGGTTAAGCGGTGGTCGGGGTTCAAAGGATTAAGAATATCAACCCATTGGGCCCTGCGTCCCTGAAGTATTTTAACACTTCTTCCTAAGCTCCTGAGAAAAATCCACTAATAATTGTTATGTAACATTTCACAGTTATATAATAAAAATAGTTACAAGTATTTACCCACCGTTCAACCGGTGGCTGGACATTAAGTCATTTTTCTCTACCACCGTTAAACGGTGGTCAAAACACAACGAGTTAATAATAATAATAATAATAATAATAATAATAAAAAAAAAAAAAAAAAAAAATGTGGAAATTGAAAACAAGAATAATACCAGTGGTAATAGGTGCACTTGGAATTATAAAAATGGAACAAAACAACACATTGAAAGAATCCCTGAAACCCCAGCTTAAGAGACATACAGAAAATTGTCTTATTAAGTACAGCACACACACTAAGGAGAACTTTGTCTATGTAACGCTAGCAACTTCACCGAAATGTGGCCATAACAACACACCACGACCTGCCTTAGGTCTTTCCGCAGACTTGGTAGGTAGTGTGTCCATAGCAGAAATCGAATAATAATAATAATAATAATAATAATAATAATAATAATAATAATAATAATAATAATAATAATACCTACTTATTTATATTCAAACAATAACAAAAAATAATAATAATTTTCAAGTTCAATGCCGCATAGTAATCAACAATAACACATTGAGGTTTGACTCCCAAGACATTGTAAGTAAAAGAAGCTCATAATCAAACCAGTTGTCATTGGTACTCTCGATATAGTGAAAAGTTCACCACTGCCTTAACCAGGTATTGAACTAACCTTCTTTGGGTCTGTCACTGTATCTAACCAACGCCTTTATCCACTGTGCCATATGTCCTTGAGGACATCTGGGAATGAACTTCTGAGTATTATAAACCTAATGTTTTCAGCAGGAGATAACTGATAACTGATATCCATCAAACATGGCACGTGGAACTAGAACAGTCTACCCCAGTGATCGAAATAAAGGGTTCAGTTCGAAATTCCAACCACCTGAAGAAGGCCGGAGCGTACAACGGCCGAAACGTTGTGATAAATATGGCGACAAAGATGAGGACAATAGTCAGACTAATGTAAATACTGTACATAATACCTCATCTCAGAAATATAGACAGACTCTGAAATAAATTTTATTAAGAAATTAATTAATTTTTTAAGAAATTTTAGTAAATAATTTACTTTTTAGTAAATAATTTTAGTACTGAATGTTATTAGATTCCTATAACAGTTTTTTGTACCACACTTCTTGCTTGTGCAAAAATCTACCGGCTTTTTGCTTCCCAGTCCATTTTGATCTTCAAAAATTTAAATGCAATGTCAATCGTTATCTTCTGTCTTCTTAATTACTGTTATTTTATTGTTCTATCTACTTAATAGTGTTTATTTTTGTTTCATATTCTCTAACATTCAGTAACCCCTTGCTTCGTAGTGGCTCTATTGCCTTGCTTGTGGTGAAACGTTTAAAAAAAATTATTACAAGAAAGACATATTACAATATTTGACGACATATAAGACGCATATACGCTTATATGGGTGTATAAGACGCACCCACATTTCAGCAGGTAAAATCAAGAAAAATTAGGAATTAGTAAGACTAGTAAAATTATTATCAAATGGTACAGTCTAGGCTATATTTATGATGCATTATTTTGGTAAAACAAGCCATGATTACAATTAAACGAAAAATAACAGGAAAAAAAGTACACGAGCCTATAAAATTTTTTATTATATCCAAAGATTTAGATAACAAAATAAAAATCAAGCAATTATTACAATTGAGCAAAACAGTACAGTTACAATTACTATTAACAGTCAGGATGAAAAGTTCCTACCAGTGGAATCAACAGTCATATGTTTATGACCAAGGCGGGCCTTTAAGTAAGAGAATTTACTTATGGTTTAACCTGGAGACGGAGAGATACCACCAGGTCTACTTGCCCAAGATGCACTATGAATGAATAAATACCTCTCCAATTGTCAACCAAGGTATTTGGAAGGAACTGGTCAAGTGCTCTACTGTGCAGTAATCAGTCATGGGACTGGTGGTGATGAATCAGTAGTATGAATACTTCTCAAGGAAATTATTACTGTATTTGATGGCTTATAAGACACACCCCAATTTAAGCAGGGAAAATCAAGAAAAAATTAGCAATTAGTCAAATTATTAGTAAATGGTACAGTCTAGGCTATATTTATGAGGTACAGTGTAACCCGGATATAAGAGACGCGGATATAAGAGAAACCCGGATATAAGAGAGATTTTCTCTGGTCCCAAATTAGAGCCTGTGTTAATGTATATAAAATAGACCAAACCCGGATATAAGAGAAAACCGGATATAAGAGACTTCTTCTCCGGTCCCGACAACTCACTTACATCCGGGTTACACTGTATTATTTTGGTTAAACAAGCTATGATTAGAATTAAACAAAAAATAATAGGAAAAAATTTCACGAGCCTATAAAAACTATATTATATCTAAATGTAAGAAAAAAGAAAAAAGTCAAGCAATTATTACAATTGAGCAAAACAGTACAATTACCATTAAAATTTTATTCCTCTTCAAATCCATAAAATTTGTCGTCTTCGTTATCAAAGCTCTCAAACTCATGTTCAATACTACAATCATCGTCTTTAAATAATGCGTCATCTTCCGTTACATTGAGAGCATTACTAATGCCACACCTTTTAAAAGATTTCACAACAATTTCTGGACTAATATTATCCCAAGCTAACTTCACCTATTCACAGACTTGTGCAATGCTGGGTCTTTTTTTTTATTCTTCCTGTAAGTGTAAGGTCGTGATCAGGCATTGCCATCTACGTGTTTCACTGCTTCTTCATGTCTAAGCTAATAGTAGTTGCCAGGTAGCTAATTTCCGCAAGCTATCGCGAATTTTAAACCTACATATGGCACATAAAATGCAGGGAAATTTAAAAAAAAAAACCAAAAAGTGCACCATGTATACCGTCAAATATGGTATTTTGATCTGACGTGTAATCATGCAACATGTCCGGCGCTCAAAAGTTCACCTACTGGAGAAATTCTCCTACGTTCTTGTTTGCGTCAGTGTTCCCAAAAATAGAGCAAGGACTGGTTGGACCTTCACATGGGAACGGGTCGTGAAATTAGGTGATACTTAGGACAACTAATGCAATGTCAAATTAAGGCTCAGTTCTTCCCTTCAACCCGTGAATCGTCTGACACCACCTATCACCCTCTACCCATTTCTGAATCATGGGCACGGTTCCAAAACTCTAACGGACAGTGTCGGAACCACATCGGCGGACAGTCTGTTCCCACCACCGAGCGGTCCATAACTACATTCATCCAATTTTTTTTTAAGCGTTTCACCCTAAGCAAGGTGAGAAGCCACTAGGACACAGGGGGTTACAGAAAAATTTGAAGCAAGAACAGATAGGAGTGATAGTAGAAAGGATGAGAAGGGTAGTGGAGAGATCAAGGCAGCTGAAGATGTCGATTGACATTACATTTGTAAAGTTGGAGATTATAGCTCTCAGGAAAACTGGAATAGGGAAGGGAGTTCCACAGGCGAGAGGTGTGAGACATGAAGCTATTGGAGTAGAAGAGACGGCTACATTTAATAGTTTCGACAGTGAAAGGGTGAGAGCGGGATGCCAGCCTCATAGGGCGCTTGAACTCATGAAGTCTGGGAACCAGCGAATGCAGCTCCTCGGAGAAATTGTCACTGTTCATGCAATATGGACATTTATTATTTCTCCCCAAAGTTCTCATTTAATTTTTTCTTTTCTTTTGGTCAAGTGGTTGGTCGCTTTGCAAGATCGCACTTCGTAGGCTCAATTGCTGGTCATAAAAAAGAACACAACTCACTTAAAACTGTGATAAAAATTGTTTGTTTCCCTCGTCTATGTGAGTGTTCCTATCGCAACTGGAGTGTCGCAGTCGTCGCCATCTTTGCACGTGACGATATCAAATAATTTCAATTCATTATTTGGATTTGAACTTCAGACACCAGCTTTGTTACACATGCTTCTATCATCATGTTAAATGAAATTACAAAGTGACGTAACTGTCAATGACCGTAGGCCTTTCTTGCAATCGATCGATTTTATGAAAAATTAGTTCATTATAAAACCCATTTACAACTCGTCTCTTTGTTTTTTTTTTACGTTCTTTCGAACCTGTTGTCTCCTCACTTTTTTTCAGTCATTACAAACATTTTTTTTTCTTTTCTTCTTCTTTTTTCTCTCAGCTCTGTTTATCTTCTTTTTTTTCTTTTCTTTACGTTTCTTTCTTCTTCTTTTTTTAATAATCTCCTCAGCAATTATTTTTTTCTATTTATTTTTCATTCTTTTCCATCTATTTCCAGTCTTTTTTGCTGATGTCTTTTAAGTTTGGCTTCCTCTTTATAATCTTTTTTTTTCTTCTTTTTGATCGTCACATAAGCTCAGCTTCAGGGCAGATGTGGCTGCTTTAGAGGAAATGAAAATATTCCCTTCACTTGTTGGTCTTTTTTTATTCAATTGTCCTGTTTCCTTCACTCTTTTTCTAACAGTCTTTCAACTACGATTTTCTATTCACAATTCCGTTTCAGATTTCATTTATCGTCAATGTTCTTTCCTCCCCTTCTCTCTATTTCATTCCCCCCCACTCTATATCACTTTCTATTTTCCCTCTTTTTTTTCATCCCCCCTCTTCCTCTCTATTACACTTCCAACTCTTCACTCTATTTCACTTACTCTCTTTCTCTCTATTCTCTTCCCACTTTCTCTCAATTCCATTTCACCTCTTCCTCTTTCATCAACCCCTTCCTCTATACTTCATTTAACCGCTCCCTCTTTTTTCATTTCTCCTCCTTCTCTATATATCATTTACCCTCTTTCTCTCTATTTTATTTACAATGTTCCTCGCTACTTCTTTTCCACATTTTCTCTCTATTTTGTTGAACCTCCTCCTCCCTATTTCCTTTCTCCTCTTCCTCTCAATTCCAGGCCCCTTTTTCTCTACTTCATTTAACCTCTTCCTCTTTTTTTAATTTCTCCTCATTCCCTATATTGCACTTCCCCTCTTTCTCGCTACTTCATTTACTCTCCTCCTCTCTATTCCGTTTCCTCTCTTCCTCTCAATTCCAGTCCTCTTTCTCTTTACTTCATTTAACCTCTCCCTCTCTTTTTCGTTTCTCCTCCTTCTCTATATTACACTTCCCCTCTTTCTCGATACATCATTCACTCCCCTCCTTTCTATTCCATTCCCCTCTTTCTCTCAAATCCATCTCCTTTTCTCTCTACTTCATTTAACCTCTCCCTCTCTTTTTCATTTCTCCTCCTTCTCTATATTACACTTCCCCTCTTTCTCGGTACTCCATTTACTCTCCTCCTCTTTATTCCATCCGCTTTGCTCTCTGTCTCGTTTCTCGTTTTTCTCTATAATTCACTTCCCCCTCTTTTTGTGCTATTCTCTTTCTTTCTCCTATCATGCAATCACCCAACTTTCCCCCTCCTCACCTTTCAGTTTTGCTTACTTTTCCATTATGAATTATTGGGGCTCACTAGTTTCCCGCCACTCAGTATACCGGGCGTGAACGGTTTGTTCAAACGCAACTGTAACCTTTGACCTCAAACAGACGGTCGAGGATCAAGTCATGCCTCATTCCTCGAGATGCTCCGGTTCCTGCCTGTCGGCCTTATGCTCTTTGTCTAATATTGATCTAACAAAGGACTTGATATCGCGCAGCTTTTGCCTGAATGGTGGGGGTTGATTCAGAGATCAGGAGGCAAAGGCAAGTACTTAGTGAAATTAGATTCTTAAACTGGTCGACTCAAGCACGCTACTGTTCGCTTTTAATTCACAAGTGACTTCTACCTTGTGTAATACTATAAAAGCAAAGCCTACGTGAATGTGGAATAGTATTAACAGAATCCGGATTTGTTAGACGATTTGGGTTTAGAAAACTGTGAATTTTGTGCAGTAACCCTCTTCTAATTATTCTATGTGTCGTATCCTTTCAGAACGTTGGCGATCACGGCTCTCCACAATTACCTGTCTTTCGTAGCTACTAATAAATTTTGTCGTTTTGATATATCCTCAAAACCATATCCCGACATTTATTTACAAAAGCTCGCTATGTAATTTATGTGTTGTTTTCCACTGTCTCGCTTCAGTCTATTCTATGAGCGTGAAATTTTCCAAATACGTATTCTTCACTAGGTACCATATAAATTTCAACTGTTTCTGATCTTAAGCACAAGGGTCCCTCTTGTTTCCATTTTCTCTAAAACTTTGTTGTTGTTCACATGTTCGAACCATAGTATTCTCAGCATCCTTCTGTAGAACCACATTTTGTGTTTCAAGTCTATTCTCCATCTGTGATGACAAAACGTAAATCTAAACATGCACGACAAAATGTTTTGATAGCAGATATATAAAAGCGAAATAAATATATATATATATATATATATATATATATATATATATATATATATATGTATATATTATGAAATGGACAAAGACCGACAATTATTTTAAGACATTTTATGTTTATACATTATTTTATAGATACAAATATTTAAGTAAATGCTCTGTAAATGTAGATCGGTAAATGTTGTTTAATACTGTTTATTATAAACAGAGCATTTACTTAAATATTTGTATCTTTAAAAAGAATGTATAAACATAAAAATGTCTTAAAATAATTGTCGGTGTTTGTCCATTTCATAATGTGTGACGTCATTTGTTTACATTTGATACGCCATGAGCAGATATGAATGTACGCGAGAGATTCATACAAGATTGAAGTTCAAATGCAGTAAATTCGACCTGGCTAACCGAACGCTCCTCTGTGGCCAAATCAGTTAAAGGCACGCCAAGCTAAATGACGGTTCCGCATAGGATACAGCTTCGAATCCTATATACACACAGTTATTATCAAGAAACGATGTAGTGTCTGTGGAATACTTAGAATTTCTTTATAGGAATCCTAGTATTCCTTGGGAAGCTCGGTGTTTGAAATGGTCTAACGTGACGTCATATATAACGGATATTGGGAATGAGGCTGCACAAAAAGAATTATATTTATTTTGAGGGATTTTGTATACGTAAGTCGAAAGTACTTGAACAAAAGTAACAAATTATGAATTTCGGACAGTTTCTTCACTACAGTGAATCCCCCGTATTAGGGACCAGAACCGGCCGCGAATAGTTAGAAACAGCGAATACTTGTAACCCTCCACCACTAAAAGTACTTATAAGTACCTATTTTGATTGATAAAATCTCATATGCCTTAAACTTTCATCCTAAACACTTTAAAAACATTTCAGACCCTTTTGAAATCATTTTAGAAAAATAGTATTGGTGAACATATAGTTAGCGTAAATTTTCATTCATACGTACACTAACCGTTTTTAATTACGCATAGATCGATACAACCATTGAAAATACTGTATAAAATATGTGTAACAAGACATAAAATATAAAGTTTAAAACATTTTCTAAAAACAGAACTGTGATGATGCCCCCAGATTTAGCATAAGCCACTTTTAAGACCCCAGCCGCAGCCCCTAACAAAGAACAAAGACCAATGACTACGCATGTTTTTGCGTTTGTTTTTTTTGTTTTGTTTTTTTTACAATGAAGTGGTACAATTCTGACAATTTTTATCATAAAAATTGACTGTTATATGTTTTAAGTCACTTAAATAACAGGAAAATAATACAAAAATATTTTAAATATGTTCTATCGAAAGAATTTTTCGGATCGAGGGAGTTCTCAGCGAATAATTTCTACATATATTCTCAACAACTTATGCGATAAATTGAAAAATATACGACAAATCACTCCCTCTCAATATGCGCCAAAACTCTTCCTGCCAATTTATCTTTTATAAAATCTAAAGTTACTTTAAATAAATATACTTAAAGAATCCAGTTTCATTTTGAAATTCTTTTTTGTATATAGTTTTACCCGTGTCTGGTGTATAATATATATATATATATATATATATATATATATATATATATATATATATATAAAAACTATATATGCAAAGCTTACTTTCGTTTTTTATCATAAGAGCTTCCATCACTTTTGAGCATGCATTATAGACAGATGTATGTGAACACACGGTAATAGATACATGGACATATAGATCTCATCAGACTGAGATAGATAGATAGATAGATAGATAGATAGATAGATAGATAGATAGATAGATAGATAGATATTCGTCTACACTAGCGACTCCATGACAGCTAATCTATTCAATACACACGCAGTCTTTTGAATATTTTAGATCATCATCATCATCGTTATTATTATTATTATCATTATTATCATTATTATTATTATCATCATTATTTCCTTGGATTTCTTTTGTATAAAAATTCCCTCCCGGGTCCCAACCAGAAACCTAAATCACACATTTTATATAGTTAAAGACCTTCGTAATGTGTAATATAATTTTTTAGCTGTATTTGGGAGTACAATTCTTTGTATTTCTTTAAAGCACGGGCTACTAGGAATCCTTTCAGTGAGTCTAATATTATTATTATTATTAGTAGTAGTAGTAGTAGTAGTAGTAGTAGTAGTAGTATTGTTATTACAAAATGCTGAAGCCGTGCCAGCATGGCCAGCGATTAGTCAGAATACCTCGTAGTCGTGGTATACTAACAGTGATAGTTTGCCTTATTTTTTCGAGCTATTAGAACAAAGTATGGCGAAGTCGGCAGACGGCCTCAAGTATTCTGAAGCATCGATGTGCTTTCCACATCCAGATTGAATAGACAGTCCGCACGTAACAAGATGCTGAGCCAACGATGTGTCAATCAGAAATTCTTTCTTGATGCTGCCTCCTAGAATCGATCCCTCTCTCGTGTAATAAAACAAATGACAGAAAGAAACCGTCTTTTGTTGATACAATTTATGAAGTTTCGTTGGACCCCGTTTGGCTGATGCCAGTGACAATAACGAACTCAATAGCATTCAATGAGTCTAGCGTAAACTTTGCCAATCAATTACAGGGCCCAAACCACAACTGGATTTTTTTTTATGTATTCTGTGTCACATGTTTTCAATTTCCACTTCAGGATCTTTGCATTTTAATAGTTTCTTGAAAATTTTCAAAGATCCATTACAATCTTCAGGAAATACGATCTCAATAATCACATTCTGCTTTTGTGGTCTTTGATCGCACTGTCTGTCTGATTAGATTTGATTGTTCTATCTGTGTATTGTAAAGTCCTATAATATTACTACAGGTCCGATGTCAGTAACCCACTCTGCGTGGTTTTCACACCAATTTGTTGAAGTTTCCTTCCAGTAAAAGTTGTAGATACTGGCCCATCCAAACATAACACGTTGTATATTCAGTGGATGATAATACCGTGAAACCTGATACACACAATTTGTATTTGAGTCAGCACATTATATTATTATTATTATTATTATTATTATTATTATTATTTTCTTTGATTTCTGGCGTTTATACATTTCTTTCCGGGTCCCGCCCAGGGACCTAAGGTTAGAAATGGCATCATGACACTTACACTGACAAAAAAAAATTACATTGATAAAGCCCTTCGTAAAGTATGGGCTGTACTTGTCAGAACATTTTTTTGTATCTCCTTGAGGCATGGACTTCCAGGAATCTCTTCAATTAGTCTACTGCAATCTTTTCCAACCAGTCCTAGGGCTCCAACTACAACAGGGATTGTTGATGTTCCCATATGCCACATTTTCAAGATTTCTATTTCAAGGTCCTTGTATTTTGACAGCTTTTTGAATATCTTCAAAGATACATTGAAGTCGTTTTTGTTTGTGGTCTTTAATAACAATTTATTATTATTATTATTATTATTATTATTATTATTATTTCCTTTTGGTCTCTGGTGTATACTCATTTCTTTCCGGGTCTCGACCAGAAACCTAAAATCTACTGAGTAGTTTTGAAAAAATCGTACATATTTTACAAAGATAAAGCCTTTCGTAAGGTATGGGCTGTACTTGTGAGTACAATTTTTTTTGTATTTCTTTTAAGGCATGGGCTACAAAGCATTCCTTCAATAAGTCTATTAGAATCGTTTCCAATCAATCCGAGGACTCCAACTACAACTTGAATTGTTGATATCCTCAAGTGCCACATTTTTGAGATTTCCTTTTCAAGGTCCTTGTAATTTGATAGTTTTTTTGAAGATCTTCAAAGATACATTACAGTCTGCTGGGACTGTCATGTCAATAGGAAAGCGCATTTTGTCTTTGCGGTATCTAATCACGATGTCAGCGCGATTAGATTTGATTGTTTTTTTCTGTGTGTATTGTAAAGATCCATAAAATTGTTACACGTCCTATCTCTGTAACCGGGGCTGGGTGGTGTTCATATAATTTGTTTTCCTTTCCGTAAGCGTTTTAGATTTTCCAGTGCAGATATTGGCCCAATTTGTCGTGCCGTGTTTTATATTCAGTGGGTGCCAATACCGCGCAACCTGGTACAAGATGATCAGTTGTTTCTGGATATTTATCACATTTTGAATTTGCATTTTGGACCGACTCAATTTTTCAGTATGTGCACTTGGTAATTTCGAGTTAGC